TCATAATAATATTAGTATTATAAGATTATATTAATATTTAATTATATTAATTATTATATTATTATTAATATAATAAATATTATTATATTAATGTAATAATATTATTGTAATATTATTAATATAATAAATATAATAATACAATATAATATTTAATATATTATAAAATAATAATTACAATATCATATTATTAAAATAATTATAATGTTATTATAATATCATATTATATGATAAAATAATAATATTAGAGTTATTAATATAATTCTGATATTATTTGTTACAATATTCCTATTATATTATATTATATTATGAGTCTGAATTTTAAATTGAAAAGATTGTATATTTTAAATTTAATTAGGGGTATTATAAAAGTTTCATTTATTGTACTATATTGATTCCCGCACAATCTAAAAGCTGAAGTTGTCTTTAGGCTGCTTATAATTTTGGATGTATATTCTTAAAAAATTCTTCAAAAAGCACTTTTAAAGAGATTTACCAAACACTAAAATCAACTTCTGCTATAAGCAGAAGCTGATTTTAGAAGGAAAAAGTAATACCAAACTAAGCTTTAGCCCGTTGTACGAAGTTATTTCAGAAAATGATTGATGTTATCTTTACATATTTTCATATATATATATATATATGTGTGTGTATTTGTTCTTATAAAGAGCCAATGGTCAGTATACTATTGGAGAAAATGATTGATGCTATCTTTGTGTGTTTTTATATATACTGTTACTCTAAAGCGCCAATGTTTAGAACGGGTTAGGTTTGATCTCGTATGGTATTAAAAAACAAAATTGTGCCCTAAAAATTTGCTAACTACAAAATTAAGGCTAACGGTCCTACGGTGGTGATGATTTAAGTATATACACACCTTGAACAAAAATATCATATCCTTCAATTACGTGTTTTCTAAGTAAAGTTCCGTGACGATTCTAAGCAAGATTTAAAAAAAAAAAAAGGAAAGGGAAAAAGGATCCATAATAATCGTATGGAAGTAAAGTAATATTTTTATTATTAAGTATTGGTTCTAATGGCTGTCCATGGCACTTGTTTTCATCTTTTATTTTACCTTTTCTTTTTTAAATATTACTTGTCGGGATAATAGGTGATTCGTCTGTATATTATTTTCTTCATTGCATGATAAATGGTACAACCGATTCAATTTCTTTCTAATTCAAAGTTGCAAGGAAATTGAAAACAAAATTAAGCTTTATTTGGAGTGGAAGATCTAAAAAATTAAACTTATGAATGTGTATCCTAAACGGAGGCTACATTCTGCTCATGTTAAGGGACTAAAAATCTCCAACTGTTTATTGAACAATGATCAGGAAAGGGCAAGGATTATGATGAAGTTTGCAGACCTAATCGATCAAAACATTGAAGAACTAGCCACTCTGGATACCCTTGATGCTGGGAAATTGTTTAGTTCATTAAAGAACTTTGAAATACCCGGGACAGCGAAATTTCTCCGGTACTATGCCGGTGCAGCCGATAAAATCCACGGTGAGGTGCTGAAAATGTCACGCCCGCTTCAGGCCTACACATTGCTCGAACCCATTGGGGTTGTAGGACACATCATTCCCTGGAATTTCCCGAGCAGCATTTTTTTCACAAAGACAAGCCCCGCCTTGGCCGCAGGATGCACCATGGTCGTCAAACCTGCCGAGCAAACTCCACTCTCCGCTCTCTATTATGCTCATTTGGCTAAGCTGGTATCTATGCATATGACAAATGGGGTTATTTTTACCTATGCCCCAACTACAAGGCTTGTCACACTTTTGCTTGAAGACCATTTTGTAACACCCGCAGTTTCTAAACTTTTTTCTTGGTTCGATACCATTCCTTCAAAATTTTAGACGCAACCGCTAATTTGAAGTATGAAGCATAATAAAAAGTACTACAATATATTTTACATTACAGTTTGAAGGTGAAAAGTGTCACACAGCTGATACTTCGGGAGTAGAAATCCCTTGTCAATACAATTTTTTCTTAGTTTTTTAAGATTTTGTTTGTTCTAAAATATTTACTTTGTATTTTGCTAATTAGGCTGGCATACCTGATGGAGTGCTCAATGTCATAACCGGGTTTGGACCAACTGCGGGTGCTGCCATCAGCTCGCATATGGACATTGACATGGTAATCTAATTTCTCTGTTTGAAAAAGAAAATGTTCAAACTCAGTTATAACATTTAGTATTTGGCTCTTGGGCATGGTTTAATTTTTGGTTTAGGTTAGTTTTACTGGTTCAACAGAGGTAGGGCGCGAAATCATGAAGGCAGCAGCAATGAGCAATTTGAAACCAGTTGCACTAGAATTAGGAGGCAAGTCGCCTATCTTAATTTTTGACGATGCTGATATTGATATGGCCTCTGAGCTCGCTCTTCTCGGGTTCTGTTTTAACAAGGTGAAGAACTCTATGGTCTACAATTCATTTCGTTCAAACACTGATGAGCAAACCTTTCATTTTGAACTCTTACTTGGCTGAAGTTGTCTGGTTTGCAATAGTTATGTTTTGGTTTTCTTTTGTATTTTTTTTTCAGGGAGAAGTGTGCACGGCGGGTTCTCGTTTGTATGTTCAAGAAGGGATTTATGATGAATTTGTGAAGAAATTAGTCGCGAAGGCAAAAGCATGGACTGTTGGAGATCCTTTTGACCCTAATGTTCGCCACGGACCCCAGGTAATTTTACCAACCTATATAGAAGAAAAGCATTACACTCATGCATTAATAATTTCAACACTATGAAATTACTAATGCTGTCACTTGCTGTAAAAATAAAAAAATAAAAGATTCAACTTTTAGTAATTGTAGCAAAAATCCCCATAAAATGTTGATACATTCAAACGAAGACGCATTGCAGGTTGACAAGGTGCAGTTTGAGAAAATCCTGAGCTATATTGAGCATGGAAAAAGAGAAGGCGCCACTTTGTTAACCGGTGGTAAGCCAGTAGGTAACAAGGGTTACTACATTGAGCCAACCATATTCACTGATGTTAAGGTACAAGTTCAGCTTTGCTCAAAAGTGCTCATATATATGGAATAATTAGTGTCAAACATGATGTCTTTAATTTTGCTTCTATGTTTCATAACACATTCATCACATTTCCTGATCAGGAAGACATGTTGATTGTAAAGGATGAAATATTTGGTCCTGTTGTGGTGCTCATGAAGTTCAAGTAAGTACAGTTTGATCTCATTTGATCAAAAATAAGAAACCAAAATTAATCCGATCCCACTTAGCATAAAAGAGATCTCCATTTCACGTATAGGACTATCGAGGAGGCGATACAGAGAGCAAACGACACGAAATACGGACTAGCAGCAGGTGTTGTCACAAAGGACTTGAATGTGGCCAACACTGCTTCAAGATCAATCCGTGCCGGCACCATATGGATCAATTGCTACTCTGCATTAGAAAGGGATTGCCCTTTTGGCGGATATAAGATGAGCGGGTTTGGGAAAGATCTCGGCTTGGAGGCCCTCCACAAGTATCTCCAAGTGAAATCTGTTATAACTCCTATATATAACTCTCCTTGGCTCTGAGCTAATACATCGATGGACAGCGAATTTATTTTATTCTTGTTCCTTTCATTTTTCCCCTCTGTTTGTTCATATATGGAAAAAAAAAAATGCACGGGTGTGCTGAAGGCTTAAATGTTATAGGGAATAAGGGTAAACTTTGATTTTGCTTTGTATATTTGTCTGGTACTAAGCTTGTATACTATGCAAAACTGCTTACATGGCTGCACTAAAGATTGTTGAATATGCAATAAAACTTTTAGTCTGTAATTTCTTTCTGCAGTTTGCATACTAAATTCTTTGGACCAAATCAAATAACCAATATTGTCATAGAAAATAATCAAACATAAATATAAGCGACGCCTGTTTTTTTTTTTTTTTTTTTTGACATGGTCAAAAATCCATCATGTGAAAAAACCAGTACGGACCTATAAGATCAAATTAGACTAACAAGACAATACTACGACAAAACTCACATATAAAAATTAGTACTTTCTAATAATATGCTTTTTTGTTAAAAATTAATTATTTGTATTATATTCAATGTTTATTTGTGGAGGTGTGTCAAGCTGTATGAAAGGTGGTCAGGTCAAGTGATTGGATTTGGAAACAAAGGAATAGGAAGCTGCATGATGGCATTCTTGTGGATGCTGAGGTGACTCTTTGATCGATCGAGTGGTCTTTCTCGCTTACAGAGAACATTTATAAAGATGGAAGTCTGTACCTTATTATGAACCTCTTATTAGAGAGATTGTAATATGCCTCTCAATTTAAATCACATAAATCCGGGGTCGTTGAGAAGCACCACATCGATTACTATGGCTGTGGGGGGCAAACGCGTGCTGCATCCCATGGCTGCATCTCTGGCACATTTTGCTGTTGCCAGATGCGCTGCAGCAGCAGTTTGAGGGCGCTGCAGCGCCTGGCCAACAGTGCCAGCGCATTTTGAAATGCTGATTCGAGCAAATTGCTCTGGTTTTGGCGCTGCAGCGCCCGGAAAGTCCTGCCGCAGCATCCAGTACTGATTTTGTGCTGTTTTAACGCATGTGATTTGAATTGTGCCGAATTATTGCAACCATTAATGATATGTTTTCATACATTTATGAATACCTATTAGCAATAGACATATCTATTGTAATATATGCATTATTACATGAAGAGATACCTCTACATTCAAGAGGTACTTTTATGTGAATGGTTGTGATGTTTGAAGAGGATGTGTTCATTCATGAAATGGCACCTCTGACTTTTTATTGTCTCCAGAAAATTTACAGATTTAATTTATGTTATAGAACACAATATTATTGTTAGATATTGTGTTCAATAGTTTGTTGTATCTTGGGATTTGCAATAGAAACTCATTAACAAACTTTAAAAAGTGGGTTCAAATAAAACCTTTAAGAAAAGTATTTCTATACGCCTCAAACTCAAAAACTGTTTGTTTTCTTTGCATCCTCTGTTAGGAAATTATATTTCCTAATAATAATTATGGGTCACATATTTATAACAATTATATTAACGTTATTTAATTAATTGGGCTCATTAAGTGGTCTAATTGTGGAGAGCCCAATAGTCTCCTAACTGTGTATGGGCTAAATGAGTGGATACCCAATATTAACCCAATTAGGTTTAATGGGAGCCTAATGGGACAATATATAAAGAAACTTAGGTTATGGTCCCTAATACGTCAAATCATTCGGCCCTTTTCCTTCTTCCCTATCTAGAGAGAAAACACTCCATTTAAGAATCTGGTAATTTGACTGAGGAAGATAATAACTCGACGTACTCGTTGTCTTAGAGATTTTTACTGAAGATTAAGGCTGCACCAATAAAGACATGTATTTGTTCTAACTTATTTTCTGAATAATTTAGTGTGATGATTCCTGGAATGTGAAATAAAGATTTAAATATCCAACATCCTCTACACTCAAATTCTCCAACATCTCTGAGTAGAGAGAAGCTCATGCTAGCACATCTACCTTCGGAAGCGGCCAGGACGTACCAGCGGGGTCAAGGAGCTAGCTCTATGGATTTTCGTAGCTGCAGCTTGGAAAGATGCTAGGAACCTGGCGGTCTCTTCCCATTCATAGTGACTCATGAATCAGCATTGACATTTTGTCCAAGTCTATCACTGGTGTTGTCTTGATGTTTTAGATGTCATTTTATTTCTCTCTTTTGAATGCTTTCAGTTTTTATTTCTTTCAATTGGAATGCTTCATTTGTGTAAGTGGGCTTTGTCGTTAGCTCTTGATGTGGCTACATGCCGGGATGTGATAGCAGCATTTCATATAAACAAAAAATGACAAACAAAGAAATCATACAAGACGCGAAAAGGGAAAAGAAAAAAAAAAGATAAAAAAAAACAAACAAAACAAAAAGTTTGACGAAGTGTTTCGTCATTTTTTTTTTTTTGAAACGCGGGAGGATAAAGGATAAGGATATTTTGCTAGTGCGATGTGTGACTGTTGTGGTTTATACAGTCTAGAAGAATCAGAAAGAGAGAGAAAGAGAGAGAGAGAGAGAGGAGAGATGAGAAGTCATGGTACTAGTGAGTCTTTCGTGAAGATGCCGACTATAAAATTCACGAAGCTGTTCATCAATGGAGAATTTGTTGATTCAGTTTCAGGTTTAATTTCTCAACTAAAATCCTTATCTTCATTAAGTCCTGTTATCGTTTCTTTAATTTCTCAATTTTCATCAGTCTACTGCTTCCCATTTCCATCAATATTGAAACTAATGCACGTTTGATTTTGTTGTTAAACCTCCTTCTTATCTTAGTTTAAAGTTTTTATTTTTTTATTTTTTATTTTATACCTGTGGCTCCCACTATGTTTAGAAGTAACAAAACTCCTAGGATTTGACCTTAAATCACACACTCGCCCACCCAAACACTCGAACTTTTTAAAGTACCCCTAATCACACTTAGTTTTCACACAAAGTGAAATTATGCAATAAATTGTCTGTACCATGTCATGTCATGGTGCTCACGTGGTACACTCGAATGCTTTATCCATATAAATATTTTATAATCATATGTCGCGCTCTTTTTATAGTTTACAGAGAGAATTGGCTAAAACAAAAATACGTTTAAAAAAAAATCGTAACCTGTTCTTGGAGCTAATACTTTCCAAGCCACGAATTGCAATTTCGAGTCGACAGAGATTGTATGATTGTCGTAACTCCCTTCTCATGAACTGGTTAGTTGTCATCTTTTGTACGTATATACTTGAATATATAGATACTTAAATACAACCTTGTTGTCTTTTTTCTTTTTCTTTTTTTAATGGTTAAAAAAAAAGGAAAAACATTTGAGACAAGAGATCCTAGGAATGGGGAGGTAATAGCAAATATTGCAGAAGGAGATAAGGAAGATGTTGATTTGGCCGTGAGAGTTGCACGTGCCGCTTTCGACCATGGTCCTTGGCCGCGCATGTCTGGCTTTGTATGTATAACTCTCTGCTTCACTCTTTATCTTATCTTCTTGTTATCTTTTGTTTCGCGCAATTTTTCATTTAGCGAAAATAAATGCATTCTTCTTTTCTTTTTTTCTTTTTTTTTGGTAGTACACATTTCTTTTAGCTTGGCCAATGCGCATAAATTATGTCCCAAAGATTCGTCTTGGAGTACCGAAATGATGTTTTCAAATGTAAAGGCACACTTAATACTATTAAATAAAAAAGGTTAAAAAGACGTTTGGTTCATGATATTAGAATCATTTTTTATTTACGTGTATTTTTTATGAGAAAAAATACTATAGCGAACCATAAACCATGATTCAAATCATGATATGAATTCTCTTAATGTCTCTTATCTCATCAGGTAAAAAAGGAGTTTTCTAGTGAATAAGGTGTTAAAAGGAAAGGGAAAAAAGAATACATTATTGCGCGGTACTGTCGGGATTTAAATTTTAATGTACACAGGCGCACACTCACGAAACTAACCATTTGAGCTAGTTTTAAGTGGCTTCTATACTTTGTTTCCTTCATATATCCTTTTGCGCTGAGTTGACATCTTTTAAACATTAATTATGAATGTAATTTATTGAAAATGTTGCTCATTAGTCATTTTTTTAACTATTCCTCATTGCGCTTTCTTTGCATAGTGGATATTTAACGTTTTTTTAAGAAAGAGGAGCTTGGTTTTTTTTTTTCAATATTCTTGATATCATAAATTTAGATACATGATGAGGTATATTTCTTTAAAATAAAAAAAATTTATTAGATTTTTTTGTTGGAAAAAATCACAGCAAGCAAAATAACTTAACCAAAATTTTGAACAGTGAATTATGAGACAGTGCTATGCACTGCATAATAAACCGTCCTCACTTTTTCATATATTATACATAGAATGCCAGTAAGAAGAATGCCTAGTGATTCAATTTATTACTAATTCAGAGTTGAAAGAAAAGTTTTTAAAAAAAAAATCTTCAGCTTTTATCTTAATTGAGGGCACATTCTGCTCAAGCCACACTTGGGCTAAGATGAGTAATGAAATATAAAGTGACTAAAAATCCCACTTGTTTTATTGAACAATTATCAGGAAAGGGCAAGAATTATGATGAAGTTTGCAGACCTAGTTGAACAAAACATTGAAGAAGTGGCCACTTTGGATACCCTTGATGCTGGGAAATTGTTTAGCTCTTTGAAGGACTATGAATTACCCGATGCAATAAAATCTCTCCGATACTATGCTGGTGCAGCCGATAAAATTCATGGCGACGTGCTAAAAATGTCACGCCCGCTTCAGGCCTACACATTGCTTGAACCCATTGGGGTTGTGGGACACATCATTCCCTGGAATTTCCCAAGCAGCAGTTTTTTCGTAAAGACAAGCCCTGCCTTGGCTGCAGGATGCACCATGGTCGTCAAACCCGCCGAGCAAACTCCACTTTCAGCTCTCTATTATGCTCATTTGGCTAAGTTGGTATGTATATGCATTTGACAAAAGGTCTAGTTTTACCTATGCCCAAAACTACAAGGCTTGTCACACTTTCGCCTTCGTACTGCATTTTGTAACATCCACAGTATCTAAACTTTTCTTCTCCATGGTTCTGTCCGATTCCTTCCAAATTTTAGACATAATATTCACCATGTGCTCATCACGGCACATGGTGAACTGCATTCATATTTAGGATGGAACGGCCATATGTTTAAAGCACGAAACATAATTTAAGGACTATGAATGTTTTATATTACAGTTTTAGGGCTAAAAGTGTAACGCAACTTTAGTTTGGGAGCGGAAAATTTTAATACTTGGTAATACATATATTTCTTAGTTTCTAAGTTTTTATCGGCTCTAAGTTCTTGAGTTTGTGTTTTGCTAAGTAGGCTGGTATACCTGATGGAGTGCTCAATGTCATAACCGGGTTCGGACCAACTGCAGGTGCCGCCATCAGCTCGCACATGGACATTGACATGGTAATCTAATTTCCTTATTTGAACAAAGAAACATGTCCAAAATCAGCTATAACATTGAGTATTTAACTTTTGGGAATGGTTTAATTGCTGATTTAGGTGAGTTTTACTGGCTCAACAGAGGTAGGGCGCGAAATAATGAAGGCAGCAGCAACGAGCAATTTGAAACCGGTTGTACTAGAATTAGGAGGCAAGTCACCCCTCTTAATTTTTGATGACGCTGACATAGATATGGCTTCTGACCTTGCTCTTTTCGGGTTCAGTTTTAACAAGGTAAAGCACTCTATGTTCTATAATTCGTAGGCCTTTGATGATTTTGCGCTCTTACTTGGCTGAAAATGTTCAGTTTGCAATAGTGATTGTTGCCTTTTCTTTTGTATTCTTTTAGGGAGAAGTTTGCACGGCGGGTTCTCGTTTGTACGTTCAAGAAGGGATTTATGATGAATTTGTGAAGAAGTTAGTTGAGAAGGCAAAAGGTTGGATTGTTGGAGATCCTTTCGACCCTAATGTTTGCCATGGACCCCAGGTATTTCTTGGACCACGCTCATTAATAATTTCAGCACCCCGAAATTAGTAGTGATGTCAGTTGCTGCTTCAAAGTTGAAACACACTTCAACTTCTACTAATTGTGCCTAATATTCCCCATGAATGTCGTTATATTAAAACGAAAACGCATTGCAGGTCGACAAGGTACAGTTTGAGAAAGTTCTGAGCTACATTGAGCATGGAAATAGAGAAGGCGCCACTTTGTTAACCGGTGGTAAGCCAATAGGGGACAAAGGATATTACATTGAGCCAACCATATTCACCGACGTTAAGGTACGGGTTTAGCTTTGTTCAAAAGTGCTCTAACACGCGCACAAGCGCACCTACATACATATATATATATATATATATGTATGACTATGCTGTTGTTGTACATCCTTTCATCTCATAATTCATTAGATACGATCTTTAGTCATATATATATATATATATATATGTCTGTGTATTACCTGCACTTAGTAATTAATAAGTTACAATATATATATATATATATATATGTGTGGAATAATTAGTGTTAAACATGATGTCCTTGATTTTGCTTCTTTGTTTTATAACATATTCAATACATTTCTTGATTAGGAGGACATGTTGATTGTAAAGAACGAAATATTTGGACCTGTTGTGGTGCTCATGAAGTTCAAGTGAGTAAAAGATGTTCCGTTTCGTCCTTTTCAATAACATTTGATCTCTGGAGAGAAAAATAAGAAATCAAAATCAACCTCTGTTCTAAACCAAGAATCTAATTCAATCCCACTTAAGCATAAAACCAATAACCATTTCACTTACAGGAAATAGCATTTGATCTCTGGAGAGAAAAATAAGAAACCAAAATCAACCTCTGTTCTAAACCAAGAATCTAAATCAATCCCACTTAGCATAAAACCAATAACCATTTCACTTATAGGACTATGGAGGAGGCGATACGCAGAGCAAACGATACTACATACGGGCTAGCAGCAGGGATTGTGACAAAGGACTTGAATGTGGCCAACACTGTCTCGAGATCAATCCGTGCCGGCACCATATGGATCAATTGCTACTTGGAAGAGGACAGGGATTGCCCTTTCGGCGGATATAAGATGAGCGGGATTGGGAGGGATCTTGGCTTGGAGGCCCTCCACAAGTATCTCCAAGTCAAATCTGTTATCACACCTATTTATAACTCTCCTTGGCTTTAAGCTAATAACATAGATGGACAGCAAAAGGGCATTTTATCCTTGTTCCTTTCCTTTTTTTCCCCTTCCTGTGTTTGTTCCTATATGTGACAAAGATTCAAGTTCTTGTGTGCAGAATTCTGCCTTGTTATTGGGAATAATTAGGGGTCAAAATTGGATGTTTTGCTTTGTATATTTGACTGGTAATAAGCTTGTATACTACGCAAAACTGCTTACATGGCTGCACTACAAGATTATTGAATATGCAATAAAACTCCGAGTCTGTACTCTCTTTCTGCACTTAGCATACTACATTTTTTTTTTTTTGGATCAAAACAAATAACCAATATTGTCATAGAGAATAATCAAAAACTTAACATAAAGTGACACCAAGAATTTTTCTTTTACACATCCAAAAACTCTCGTGTGGAAAAACTAGTATGGAAAGATCAAATTATACTAGCAAGAGAATGCCACTCCAAAACTCAGATAAAAATTAGAATTTCACAATAATATATATGCTTTTTTAAAATATAGTATTTTTATTCCTTTCCATGTTTGTTTATGAATTCTATTGGACATGATAAAGTAATGGCTTACGTTAAGGACACGAAGTGAATATAAATAAGTTGCGGACCGTGTTTGATGCTATAAATCATAAACGGCACGACACATTATTGGCGTGATCATTCAATGGATCAGCACGAAGAAGACACAAGGTACTAATGGGTGCAAATTACAAATTAGGCGAGACAGACCGGACCATTTGACATCTCTAATTTTGTTAGTCTTGCCTTTGCTGAAAAAACCCGGCACTAAAACTTCTTTAATGACGGCACATGTTGTGCTAAATGATGCTACAGTCATATAACTCCAAGTTATCGTTGACATTTATTCATAAGACACCCATTTATTGGTTCTTTAATTTAAGGAAAATTTGGAGGGGATCAATTAATAGGGATTGGAATAAAGCAAGTCTCTGTCGTTGTTGAGGGTCCGTTTGCTTCACTCGTTTAAGTAAAAAAAAAAAATTTAAATTCAAATTTTTTATAAGATGAAAAATACTATAACAAAATTAAAACCATTGACCGTAGAAATGTGGTTGTTTGAAAATTTATCATAAACTGCTTAATAAGAAATAGGGGCTGTCCTGTGGGCTAAAGTCAAATGGCGGACTATACAAATGTAGTAGCAGCTAGTTAGCTAGCTAGGCCACGGGGGGCTTAATTATGAACAGTTTTATTACACGTGGGCTTAGGTGTAACTATCCGAGAAAGTCAGCAAAAGGTTTGTTTCAGCAGCAATTCGGCATTATTGAAAGCATCTGTAGAGATTAGAGAGAGACGTGATGGAAAATGGTTTATTATAAACGTTTTTTTGAAAGCATTGTGTAGCGATATATCTGGTTTCTTTTCTATGTTTTTATTTTTTTTTTTTTTTTTTTTTTTATATAACTATCCGAGAAAGTCAGCAAAAGGTTTGTTTCAGCAGCAATATGGCATTATTGAGAGTATCTGTAGAGATTAGAGAGAGACGTGATGGAAAATGGTTTATTATAAACGTTTTTTTGAAAGCTTTGTGTAGATATATCTGGTTTGGTTTTTTTTCTATGTTTTTTTTTTTTTTTTTTTTTTTTTGTATATAACTATCCGAGAAAGTCAGCAAAAGGTTTGTTTCAGCAGCAATACGGCATTATTGAGAGTATCTGTAGAGATTAGAGAGAGACGTGATGGAAAATGGTTTATTATAAACGTTTTTTTGAAAGCTTTGCGTAGATATATCTGGTTTCTTTTCTATGTTTTTATTTTTTTTTTATTTTTTTGTATATAACAATTACATGTGGATTGTGAAAAAAGAACCGAATAATACGTAATCTCTGTTTTGCACATGATCATATATAATATTGGACTAGCCCGTTTAGTTCGACATTTGCTGCGTTTGGTACAAACATATTGCTCTGTGATGTTTTTAATTTAACGAAAATAGTAAAAAATAGGTCAATATGAAAAGGTTAAGGAAGTATATAGGCTAACTTTTAGTTATAAAAATTAATAGGTCATAACTTGTCAAGTTATGGTTCATAACCAGATAAGTTATGGACAAACTTATCAAGTTATGATTCATAACCAGACAAGTTATGGATAAAAACCGTGATTTATAGATAATAACTTGTTAAGTTATTGTTCATAACGAGACAAGTTATGGACAAAAACAGTAATTTGGCCTATTTATTAACTTGTGTAAACTATTAGCCTATTAATTTTAATTCATCTCAAGTCTTAGTCTATTTCCCTCTTTATCCCTTAATTTAATTGCATTAATTTTTTGTGATCTCCTGAGTCTCTTATTGAACAAGTCAACAACGGCTTCCGGATTGATGCGACTTATAATATAGAAAGAAAAAATCATAATAATTTCCTTTCTAACAGAATAATTAAAAAAGTAATCTTGATAAATACTTTTTAAAAGTGTTTACATTAAAATTTTTACTATTTACTCTTGATTTATAATTTTTTTAGTTAAATAATTACACTAATAAAAATATATTAATTAATACTAAAAGATAAAAGACTAGACTCATGCATTCTTAAAGATAAATTCTGTAATTTTTTCCGATTAAAATCATAATTCATATTCCTTTCAGGAATAAATAAATAAATATCATGATTCATGTGACAATGTGTGGAGGTCTTCAATTAATATATTTGGATAAAGTGAACTAAAACAAGATTTACCCTTAAAAAAGGACAGTTAATAATAACATTAGAGTATTTTTATTGGGGTTAAAACTCAACTACTTATTCACGGTAAGTCCCATTAAATAAGTAGGTGGGACTCAACTTAGTGGGACTCGCTATTTTATAAGTGATAAGAATTTATTTTTATGAGATGAATACGGTTTTTGATCACATTTGAATGGTAGTTTCACATTTTGTTACGTGAGGTACAAACATACTACTACATTAGTGATGTTGTTAATTTAATTGCATTGACAAAGGGCTTCCAGATTGATACTACTTATAATAAGGGGAAAAAAAAACATATAATATCTCTTTATATTAGACCAATCAAAATCATGTGATAACGTGGGTGGTTTTTAATTGTATTTAATAATAAAAATGAACTAATTAAGTAAAACTATGAGCTGGGAATTGAATAAAAGAGAAGATGAGAAGTGCAATATGGACTTTTTAATCGATTGTTTGTTTGTCAAAGTATGCATACAGTACGTAAACATCAAAAATCTGTTTCATACAATATTTGTATGATCTGTCCAGTTATATGCGATTCAAAATATTAAAGTTGACCACGGAAAAAGTCCCATAAGGATGTATATGTTATTATGCGATTCAAAATATTAAAGTTGACCACGGAAAAAGTCCCATAAAGATGTATATGTTATTATGAAAACTAAGAAAATGTAAAACTAAAAAGAAAAAATTTAGAGAAATAAACTAGGGAGAGTTTTATTAATCTTGTGAAGGTATATAAAATGAAGAGTTTTAGAGTTTTATTTATAGAAAAATTTTCAGCATTAGTCACAGTTACTATTTATATAGTACTTGCTATTTATGGTTATTATTTGCACAGTAAGATTCTGATATGAACAGTGATTTTAACTGATTTGTATGGTAACTTTGACTAAGATGAATAGCTACTATTCATAAACTCCTTTCTAGATATCCACCATTCATGATGTCTCATTAAAAACCTTGATAAGAAAAACTCAGTGGGATAAAAACCATAACAAAGGGAAAAATAGTACATTATTTATCTATATGTGTTTATGCTGCCTCGTTAAAAACCTTATCAGGAAAATTCAGTGGGATAAAACCTTATCGGTATTGTTGTTGCAAGGTAATGTGAGATGCATGGAAAGTGGAGTAGGTTTTCTCTAGCATTTCACCATCTGTGATATTTACTCCACAAAATTTCAGTTTTGAAACAATTCTAAACATGACAGAGTTGTAGTCATTGACTTTCTTAAAATCCTGGAAACGCAAATTGTTCCACTCATTGCGAGTGGCCAGAAGTACGACTTTTTTCTGGTGGTCGTATCTCTCCTTCATACTTTTTCAAAGGACAAGTGGATCTTTAACCGTGAGATATTCACATTTCAAGCCTTCATCAACATGTTTACAAAGGAAAATCATCGCTTTCACATTTTCTTGTGGTGACTTGTTATTATTTTTTTAATGGTATCGGTTAGACTCATTGACTCTAGATGCATTTCTACATCAATGATCCAAGACATAATTCTTTACCGTGTGTCGAGTGCAACGAATTCAAGTTTGGCAAGATTCGACATGGTGATAACTATAATAGAACATCGATATAATAAGAATCACAATATTATTATTACAATAGAGAGTATAATTAAAATTACATGTTAATCATAATAGCAATAAATAAAAGGGAAAATATTACAAGTATGAGTTTTGTAAGGAAAAACTGAAAATCGTGTGGAGAATGATCTCCAATAAAAAAAAAGTAAAAATATAGAAAATGACTATTAAAATAACAAACATCATCACCATATTCGTCATATTGTGAAGATTATATTAAGAATCGTGAAGAGAATATGAGAAGTGAAAGATAAAAATATTAAGAAGGGGAAAGAGAAGATGAGAAGTGAATTGTATGGGTTAAGAAAAATCACAATTTATAGAGTAAATACAGCCGTTAATAGTGATGTAAAAATCTATTATATTACCATTAGAAGTGGAAGAAAAATTACAATTGTATATCTCAAATGATGTAGAAAAATAAATAGATGAGAATAGTAATATGCATGCAGAAAGTGCAATGAGAAATTATTACATGCAGGCGGCATAGCCATTCATTTATGATAATACAAACACGCCAAACTACTCGTTAAACCTTTCGAATGGTGTATAATGACAAAATTATAAAAATTATGATACATTGGTGGCATAGTCCTCTTTGTATGAATATAAAATAATAAAGTATATTTACATATCTTTCACTTGAATTAATAAGGGTAGAAACCTGTAGGACTAGGGTTAGGACCTACTTTCTTTTAACTTTAAAGTAGATGCTTGTAACTGGATCAAAACCTCATTTCTTTGAATTAATGAATATAGACAATCACAGTAAAAATTGAATGTTATTGTTGATAACGTGTTATGAAAATTAAAAAAAAAAAGCAAAATTAAGAAGAAAAACTTTAGAGAGAGGGGGTTTCATTAATCTTACGAAGGTAAATAAAATGAAGAGTCTTAGAGTTCTATTTATAGAAAAATTTTCAGCACTATTCACGGTTATTATTTGCTTAGTACTTACTATTTACGGTTACTATTTATACAATAAGATCTTAACATGAACAATAACTTTAACTGAGTTGCATAATAACTTTGATTGAAGTGGACAACTACTATTCATAACCTATGTTATTTTTTTGTTTGACTTAATATTGTCATTGTCTTTGTCTTTCAATTAGAGCCGCTTGTTGTATTAAGATATTATGAGGAAATATATTAACAGAGAGAGATATAGATAAATAAATAGGGGGAGAGAGATAGGGATATATATATATATAGATAGATAGAGAGAGAGAGAGAGAGAGAGAGAGAGAGAGAGAGAGAGAGAGAGAGAGAGAGAGAGAGAGAGAGAGGGGGAGTATTGACACTACTGAGCCGTTTGTGAAGATGCCAACAATTAAATTCACGAAGCTGTTCATTAATGGAGAATTCGTCGACTCAGTCTCAGGTTAAGTACTATTTATCATTGTTCTTCTTTTTCCCCTTTGATATTGTTCTTCACTATATATATGTAGTTCTCCAAGTTATATGTTATACGTCATTTATTTCTTGTATTGGTAATATCATTTGTATCTGCAGTTTTCTTTCTTTAAGTTGACACCACAAGGCAAAAAACTTGTTAGTAATTCCTTCATAATGAGCTTCAACAATCTTCTTTTAGACTATAATTTTTCACTTCTAATCATCTACTCATACGAAGCCTATATGGCGTTTCACGATACAAGTACAAAATGCAACCCCTGAACAACGACATATTAATTAGGGGAGTTTTTGCTTTGGGGGAAATAAAGTAGTCACAATAATATTTCTATCAAATTTTTGTAGCTGTTTGTTGGTTATAAAATATAAAAACATATTAATCCTTGTATCTCATATTACTTTGATATGTGTTGTCATTTAGCTAGGATGCGTTGGTAGGAAAGAAAATGTAAAGATAGAATGTGGGAAAAAGGGGAAGAATTGATTGTGGGTTTCCTCTAAGTTGGTGAATTTACGACAAACTATTCCTAGTCAATACCCTCCTTTTTTTTTTTAATTATCTTTACTCTTTCACGTTATCATATTAATCACATAATTAACAAGACCGCTTCTTTTATACGACACAAATGTGTTTTTTTTTTTTTTTTTTTTTTGGGTGAAAAAACAAAACAGGAAAAACAATTGAGACAACAGATCCTAGGAATGGAGAGGTGATAGCAAAGGTTGCAGAAGGAGGCAAAGAAGACGTTGATTTGGCAGTGAAAGCCGCCCGTGCCGCCTTCGACCACGGTCCATGGCCTCGCATGTCCGGCTTTGTATGTGCTTAACGACCTTAATTAGCCTCTCCTTCATTTTTCTATTGATTTTGTCGATATATGTATGTATGTATATATATTGCTATGTTTCGTTTTATAGAATAAATATATTATCTTTTCTATGTATTTACAGTTCTCATTTCCATATTATTCGGATAGATATTTTATGTCTTAAGTTTCTCTGTTGTTTAGCGGGTGTCCTTATCAGGGGGCTGATCATGATCGTCATATATATCGTCTCGTTTCCAAAGTCAACTTAGTGATAATAAAGATATAAGAAATGTTGCAGAAATAATTAATTATAAATATATATTTATATAGTTGATAATATATCTTAGGTACGTAGTGCAGTTAATATATGTATATATATATAGCTTAAATTACAAGTCTGCCGACGTTTACTATTATCAGGTAATAAATTCATATACGTAATGCAAACGAAATGTGTACGTGTCAATCTTCTCTCTGTGGTGTCTATAACAGAACTAAACATTTTTAAGGCCCCGTTCATTTTGCCGATTCGAGTTTTGCTACAGTAAAAAACTCTCAGAAACAGTCACATCTAACTTTTTTACTACAGTAAAAAGCTCTCACATAAAATTATATCTCAACTCGAATTACAAACTCGAATCAGCGAAGTGAACGGGAGAACAAGAACTCAAGTTTGATGAATGCCAAAAAAAAAAAGAGTCAACAAAAGCAAACGAAAAAAATAAATGAAGTTTGTTACTTTCTAGTTTTGCTGACTTAAAACTCATATTTGTATTACCCTAACCATAAACAAGATCAAATAGTTAGAAATTATGTGACAGGGTCTAGAAGAAAACTTTCATCAATCCCGCGTTAAAAGGGAAAAAAAAAAAAAAGAAAAAAGAATAACAAGTACCTTGTTACTGCCTTAATACTTAAGGTTCTATTAAACTCTGTTGTTAGATATATTAATTAATTATGATTTTATACTAAGTAATTAAGCTTGCTCAAGTGGGAATTAAGTGTGCTAACATAATTAGTTGAACATATCTTAGGAGAGGGCAAGAATCATGATGAAGTTTGCAGACTTAATTGAAGAGAACCTTGAAGAGCTAGCCACTCTTGATAGCCTCGACGCCGGAAAATTGTTTAGCCTCGGAAAAGCCATAGACATACCCGGCGTGATCAGTTGTCTCCGTTACTACGCCGGTGCAGCCGATAAGATTCACGGGCGTACGCTGAAAATGTCGCGGGAGTTTCAGGCCTACACATTGCTTGAACCCATTGGGGTTGTAGGAAGCATCATTCCCTGGAATTTCCCAAGCACCATGTTTTTCATCAAGGCAAGCCCCGCCTTAGCCGCAGGGTGCACCGTCGTCATGAAACCCGCCGAGCAAACTCCACTCTCAGCACTCTATTATGCTCATCTCGCCAAGATGGTACGTGCCTATGCTTTGATTATATTTTTTTTAGTATGGACATTCATAAATTATTACTTACAACATTCATAGTTTTTTGTAACTAAATTTATGATGTTAATAAATACAAACCATGAGTAGGTGGCACCAATTATAATTCTATGTCTTGTTTAGGAAAAAAAAAAAAAAAAAAACAAACCACAAGTTTCATGCCTTTCGAAACGTATCTAGCGCCTAATGCCACTGGAGGCTGGTTCAAGCAGTGGCGGATTTAAGTACAGCTCAGTACGGGTTACCGTCCTCACTCAAATTTTTTTTTTAAAAATATTACTTTTAAAAATTTTAAAATTTTACACTTAAGCCCTTACTGAAATAATATATGTCCCCACTAAAATAAATATATTTTCTTATATGCCTCTACTAAGATAATTTATTAAAAAAAATTTAATGTAATTCCACTAAAGTAAAAGGCTGATTCTGTCACTGAGTTCAAGGGCCGTGTGCTGAGTATGCGTGTATCTACCAAGGGTCGAATCCTGATAGCTTTCTTTCTTGTATAAAATGAGAGCCGTAGGCCTCATACCTTATTTGAAAAAAATAAATAAATAAAAAAAAGGAAACTTATCTAGTCAATCCAGTGGACCAGTACATGTATGATGTCTATATAACTACTAACTTTTGTTTATGGGTTTTAGGCTGGGGTCCCTGATGGAGTGCTCAATGTCATCACTGGATTTGGACCCACTGCAGGTGCTGCCATTAGCTCACATATGGACATTGATATGGTAAATAATTTGATATATGTAATTGTTGTTTGAAATATGTCTAAATTGAGTTGATACTTGATCAATGAGTATATATAAACAACACATAACGCGTAATTGTAGTGACTAATATTGGCTATGATTTAATTAATTAATCTTGTTTTAGGTGAGTTTTACTGGGTCGACAGAAGTAGGGCGTGAAATAATGAAAGCAGCGGCAACAAGCAATTTGAAACCAGTTGCACTAGAATTAGGAGGCAAGTCACCCCTCTTAATTTTCGACGACGCCGATATAGATATGGCTTCTGATCTTGCTCTTCTTGGGGTCCTATACAACAAGGTGAAGCCAGCTTGCTTTTTTTTTTTTTTTTGTTAACTATATATATGTTTGAAAACATTTTCATATTTTGGAATTCTCATGTTCAGTTGGCAATTATTCACACTAGTTTTCATTATCAATTTGTTTTAGGGAGAAATATGTGTGGCAGGTTCTCGTGTTTTTGTTCAAGAAGGGATTTACGATGAGTTTGTGAAGAAATTAGTTGAGAAGGCAAAAGCTTGGCCGATTGGGGACCCTTTTGATCCTCAAGTTCGTCAAGGACCTCAGGTTAGAACTAATTATGAAGATATTCAAGAAGCTAAAACTTTTTAACTTTTAAGGACATGTTGGTTTTCAATTTTGTACTTGTAGCCATAAACTTATCCATAAAATTTTTTGAAAAAAATCAAATCTTTGGAATTCGTGAGATAATCGATGTTGCGTTGCAGATTGACAAGGCGCAATTTGATAAAATTTTAAGATACATTGAGCATGGAATGAGAGAAGGAGCCACTTTGTTAACTGGGGGAAAGCCTGCAGAGAGGCAGGGATATTACATTGAGCCAACCATATTCACCGATGTTAAAGTATGTAGTTAATTTGCATAAAATACGTGTGTGAAGTTTACATCGCAACTCATTAATCAATATAATGATAAATATTTTGGGATTGTTCTCATCTTCAATAATCCATCGCTTTAATGATCAGGAGGACATGCTTATTGTCAAAGACGAAATATTTGGCCCTGTTATGGCGCTCATGAAATTCAAGTTAGAACCAGAGTCCCGTTTCTCTTATCCTTTTTAATAAACTGGATTTTCACTTGCATACATAGCTGTTAAGCTGATCGCTAAAAACTTTGTGAAATCATATGTATAGGACTATTGAGGAGGCGATAAAGAGTGCGAATAATACGAGATATGGGCTCGCTGCAGGCATCGTCACAAAGAGTTTGGATGTGGCCAACACTGTGTCAAGGTCAATCCGAGCCGGCACCATATGGATCAATTGTTACTTTGCTTTCGGTGACGATTGCCCTTTTGGTGGCTGCAAAATGAGCGGCTTTGGGAAGGATCATGGCTCGGAGGGCCTTCACAAGTATCTCCATACTAAGAGTGTTGTTACTCCAATCTACAATTCTCCTTGGCTTTGAAATTTTATGCGACATCAATACTGCAGCAAGCTACTGCTACTTACATACTGAGCCTTTTTGTGATGTGAAGGATCAATATTGGTGTGGTTTATAAAATGCTTGATTCCAGTAACGGGGTTGAGTAAATTAATATCTTGCTTTGTGTAATTTGACTGGTTTGCTTGTATACAATGACAAAGTTTGTTTTCATCTTTCGCTATATTATAGTGTATGACACAAACTGAGCACGTTCTGCGTCCGCACGCTTGATATGCAAATGTATTGGACAAATTAAAAAGAGAAAAACCAACGAATGAAATCTCCTTTATTCCAAACACAATTTCCATGTCCTTATAAACATATATAATTTAATGCAAAATTTTACTTTGGGAAGTCATGTATAGGACTGTGAAGAGGCGATGAAGAGGCAGGAACAAAGTTCAAAACAGACGGTAAATTCCAAAAACACATGACATGCCCTTATAAACATAAACGAGTAAACGACTGCAAATTCTACACATTTTGGACATAAATATTGTCAATACAAGCTACGTAAGTTCTAAAATCATGTCCTTTTCAGCTCAGAACGGTTTTTACACTAAAAACGACAGTAGAACTTTGTGTAAACGTCAAGTTTTATATCTTACATTTCGTTTCTATGGATTGTGAATAAATCTTAACTTACATTCTTAGGGGGAAAAAAAAAAAGAACAACTACGGCAAAACATTACATAAAAGTCACGTCGTCTGTTAGACATGAGGACTGTCTATTTGAACTTCTAATGTTCTAGCTATATGTCGTTTTAAACTTAAACGACCACAATCCTCCAAATAGTGAACCACGGGTAGGTTGTTTTTATAAACCAACTGACGACAGCAGTCTTTCAAACAATAAACGACATCACAAAACGACAAAGTATAATTTTTGAAAAACAAACGACTTGACGTTTCGTCAATCTCCTTTCAGACAATAATAGAATAACCTTTAGAAACGACACATCGCTTACAGAGATCAAATGACAAACGTTATTCATTGAACGTAAAAGAAGAAAACTTCGAACGAAAGGGCATCTAGCCCATAATCTCTGGCTCTCTGCTTTTGTATTGCAATTGCAAGAGCGTTTTTCATCTAATTAACGTTACAGAGATTTTCAAGATTGATCTTCTTTATATTTTCCTTGAAAGTTTCTTGATAACCAAGCAAGAATAGAAAGTGCTCGAGAAGTAAACAATGAGAACATGATAAGCACAAGTTCTCGTCAAGATAACAACCAAGATCGCAGTCCAAATCTAAAATCAAACTGATTAGAACCCATTCAGAAAGTGTACAAACCGATTCGATCGAAATCTTGACATCTTTTTTACAACCTAATCGTAAATTCCATCAGAATCTAGTTACAGACACGAGAAAACAGAGATCGATGCCTATTTTAGAGGCACGAGCCGGATCAAACGACGCCGTTGGAAAGCCCTCATTTCCCGATCTTTCCCCTGAGCTTGACGACAAGAACCTTCTCCATCTTCGCCAGAACGGCCTGGTTCGGCACGGCCTTGCCGTTTTCGTACTCCTGGACCACCTGAGGCCGCTCGTTGATCTGCTTGGCCAGATCGGCCTGGCTCATCTTCTTCTCCAGCCGCGCCTTCTGGATCACCTGCCTCAACTCCGGCGCCACCCGGCCCATAGCCGCCGGCTCCGTCCCCTCGTCCAGCTTCTTCGCGTTGACGGCCGGCGCCGCGGCGGAGGATTTCTTGTTGGAACCGGCGTCGAACTTCTTGACCGTCTGGACCCCCGCGCCGGACCGGAGTGCCTGGTTCACCGCCTTCGGATCGCGGAGGGCTTGCGCCTTCGGCTTCGACTTGTGGACGACGACGGGCTCCCAGTCCTGAGTTATGGCTCCAGGATATCTGCTCGGCATGTTGTTGCCGGGAGTAGAGAGAGAAAGCTTTGTGAATTTTAGAGAGAGAAATGAAGATTATCAGTTGGAATGGCGAAACGATGCGAAGGCGAAGGTGGTAAAAGGGGTTTATGTAGTGGAGGGAGAATCTGGAAAGTTCTTTATCGCTTCTGTGACCGACTTTAATATCTGGAACGTTCTCTGATGCTTTGATATGTAATTGCTTGAACAGGCGCGAAAAGTCTCTTTTAATCGTTTGCAACGTGGCGATGTGTTATTAAACCCAAACACAATATGGTCCCAAACATAATATGAGATTTTTATTTTCGATATAATTATAATACCCAAAACACCCCTAATATTTTACCTAAATACTATTTTTACTCTTCCATGTAATTATGCAAACGCCTGAGCCAAAGTTTTTATGGGAAAGAAGAAGTGTAAAAACAAAAGCAAATAATAATAAAAAAAAGAAATTATAGCCTCATTCAGTTTGTAAATTTGAGTTTTTAATTTGAGTTAGATATATAATTTTATATGAGTCTTTAACTGTAGTAAAAGAAATTAGATGTGATTTTTTATAAAAACTTTTAACTGTAACAAAATTAGAATTGAAAACTCAAATTGGTGAAAGAGTAATTTCAATAATAGCACTCATGAATAAATTATTATTAATTTTAACACTACTTTTGTGTACTTTCACAACTAGCATTGTCATGTCAGCAATATGAAGTAAAATGACTTTTATGCCACTTAGGTCAAAATTATCATTTAAAAACACCTCAAAGAGACTCACAACTCTCTCCCGCCTACTCTCTCTCTCTCTCTCTCTCTCAAGTTTGGCCGCTCTATCTACTCGGTATCTTTCTTCCCTACACCCTCATTTCTCCGTCGCTAATACTCCGGTTGTGCACCAAATCGAGGTTGGTACACAATTTGTTTGCTTTCTTTTGTTTTTATCTTTTTAAATTTATTTTTCAGGAGACTTAGTATATAAAACTAAAAAAAAAATGACTAGGTTGAACTTAATGTGATGGGAATTGAAAATATCTTTCGTCAATTTGAGATTTTGGATGGTTTATAACTGATATGTAAACTGATTGTAACGACCAACACGTGAAAGACATAGTTGACCTTGGGAGTCATAGTATTATGACTCATAGTGTTATATGTCTGGTCATAATACTATGACCAGTCAGCCATAATAGTATGAGTCATGGTCTATGAGTCAAATTATAACAATATGAGTCAAAATGGCCGGTCATAGTATTATGACCGTCCATAAGGCAGTCATAGTGATATGACCATCTGTAACGCCCTCCAGAATTAAACTTGTTTAATTATGATAATTGTAGTTTATTAGTGTGCCTAAATTGATTTTTTTAATTAATCATGAGCTTTTAAATTTATTTTAGTATTTGTAATTTCACCCCTATTTATTTTATTTATTTTTTCTAATTTTCTTTTCCTTCTATTTCTCCTTTTTCTTTTTCCTTATTTCCTTTTTTCCTTTCCCTTCCTCACGTTACTCTCCCTCTCTCTCTGTCTCGACACTCTCTCTCTCTACCTCGAGCTCTCTCTCTCTCCCCCTCTCCCGTTCATCTCTCCCTCTCTCTCTCAAAGTTTTCTTTCTCAAGGGCCGGATTTAAACCAAAAACGGAGGTTTCCAAGAGGTTTTCAACATCAAAGCTTGGATCGATGTAAAACTCTTTGAAACTTACTTTAGAATTTCAGATTTAGCTTTGTGGAACTCGTTTTAGTCGAGTTTGGTGATTTTTGGTTTAAATTTTGTTTTCAAATGGAATCCGAATGGGATTTGGTGAAACCTTGATGAAAATTGGGGGTTTTTTATTCTTTGGACCCCATTTGTTGATTTGAAACTGGATCTATACATTTCCCTTGAGAATATGTCGAAATCGGACCCAAAATTG